CATCTGACGGCTGTTGCCAGGGGGACCTTTTGTCAGGTTCGCCTGATTCGCCAGTTGCGCCCCTTTCTCGCCTGGACTACTGCAATGCTCTCTACATGGGGCTCCCCTTGAGGAGCACCCGGAGGCTCCAACTGGTCCAGAATGCGGCCGCGCGGGTAATTACGGGAGCTGCATGGCACTCCCGCATAACACCGCTCCTGCGCGAGCTGCACTGGCTCCCAGTGGTCTTCCGGGTGCGCTTCAAGGTGTTGGATACCACCTTTAAAGCGCTCCATGGCATAGGACCTAGTTATCTTCGAGACCGCCTTCTGCCACCGACAACCTCCCATTGACCCGTGCGCTCCCACAGAGAGGGCCTCCTCGGGGTGCCATCAGCCAAGCAATGCAGGCTGGTGACCCCCAGGGGGAGGGCCTTCTCTGTGGGGGCTCCCACCCTCTGGAATCAACTGCCCCCAGAGATAAGGAGAATCCAAGACCTTCGTGTCTTCCGCCGTTCCCTTAAAACTTTCCTTTTTCAACAAGCTGGGCTGGCCTAACAAATCCTTTTAAATGATTTTAAATGAATTTAAATTTGTTTGTCTTTTTAAATTGTGGGCCAAATTGAGATATTTCCTTTTAATCTGTTCTTAATCTATGTATTATGTATTATGTATTTATGTGTTTTTACTTGGCTGTACACCGCCCTGAGTCCCTAGGGAGAAGGGTGGTATATAAATCTGAAGTAAAATAAATAAAATAAATAAAATTTTATTATAGATCTTTGTTGCTGCCACTTAAACTGGTTGATATGACTGTGAAAATAGAGGGTTTTTTTAAAAAAATGAAAATATTATTATATGAAATTCAGTGTCACATTTCAATGCAAATACATTGAGAATAGGAACTCTGAGAGGAAATGGAAGTTTATTTCTCTTCTGGGAGTTTACCTGAAGACACAGGTTCTCTCCTTCCTTCTAGCATCTTTAAATTTTAGACACTCCCCCCACCCCACCCCTTTCTGGCTGAAATGGACTTTTTCTCCCTTTGTAGCTCTCTCCCCCCCACACTTATTTTTTGTTTGTTTGTTTGTTTGTTGATGGTATAAGCATTATTAAACAGTCGTTCAGAAAGTTCTCAATTCATTTATTAATCTGTTCAATCCTGGTGTAAACCCTGGATACAGATTAACTACCACAAGACTTTCTCCATGTTGAAATAAAGCAATGTGCAGAGTTAATAGTGCTAAAGATTAAATAAATTTAGTTTTAGAGAGAAAATATGTCTTGGTTTTTTTTTTGTTTTTTTGTTTTTTGGCATCAGCAGACAATGCTCAGACTATTAATTCATAAGACAGTAAACAGTTGTTGAGTTTTGCTCTGAAGGATTTTCAAACATGCCATGATCCTTTCCTATTTATCTGCAGTGTAAGCGAAATAAACAATAAAGTTCCAGGAGACAAATGCCAGTAACAGTATTTGTTTCATGTCATCTTTTATGCTTAACTAGTTCTATGGCTCCCTTGTGCAACTGCAATCTTTTATGAAGCAACAGATTGCATTCCTGGTTGTGGAATCACACTTAATAGTTTCTTCAAAGCCATTTGAAAAAAAGCTGTAAAATCCAGCCATTAATATCCCTTTCATTTCCTTCATTAAAGCAAACTTTAAAAAAAAAAAAAAGTTTTCATGCTTTCACCAAACAGAGAATTTTTCAGTGCTATGAACACACGCTTAGAAGCATTTTGTCTCAAATAAAGCCTTGTAAAAATGTCTGATTTATTCAATCACTGACAATAACATTACCGGTAGTTATGCAGCCTTAGCATGGCCTTTGACACTAAATCACTGACGTAGATGCCAGAGACAGATTGACTGCACTCTAGTGTCTAGTTATATATAATTAAACTTCATTACTCTGAATACATCTTGCAGAAATCCTATAGGTATCCACTCTGAAGTATGGCTCACCGAGCTCAATGGGTTTAAATGGCAGAAGTGGATATCCAATTGCAAGCATAAGAGCAAACAACAAAATTCTTATGGGTTAACATTATTTATGCAAAATACTTGCACTTGAAAAGTAGTAGATAATTTTATTTATTTTATTATTTATTTATTTATTTATTTATTTATTTATTTATTTATTTATTTATTTATTGAGCATAATGCTCTGTTGTGAGCCAGATGATTGATAGCCTTTTTGTATTCACCTACTGGCTTTCTATATAAACAATAATCTGTGAAGTTATGTGATATGACGCTCGGTATGAGAGTTATTCATTGAGTCATTAGCAACTGGACCATTACCATGTTAGAGACACAAAAATAGAAAAATAAATGTACCGCTAGCATCTCCAGCTAGATGTGGAGACATCCTGGATTGATTGTGTGACTGATGAAAATCTACACTGTGTGGTTTAAGTTAGCCAGACAAAAGTATTCTTCTAAAATAGACTTTATCAGTGATTCATTAATTTAAAAAATCCAGGTCAGTTCCTGGCAATGTCTGGAAACATTTCCTTCTGAAATCCTACATAGCCTTAGAAAGTCAAGTCAGAATAGGCTATAGTCTAATTTAATACAAAGCAGCTTTCTATCTCCTATTATTAACAGTTTCTCACATTAGACATCTGAAATGCTGCCTTTCTTCCTATACAAACTGATGCTGCTTGTGGGAAAATGCAGATTTCCAGTGATTGGCAAAGATTTAATAATGGTTTCCTTTCTCCCATATCCCCATCTTCAAACTTTTTGTAAGCAATTTTCTTTACCATCATACATTAAATGTTATTTTTACTAATATATGTACTCCTCCCTCATATTTGTGATTCTATATGCTTCCTTCTAATTAAAAACTAATAAAATTTGAGAAAAGTCAAATGTTGCAGATTATTTTAATTTAATTTTAGAACTGGATTTAGATAGTGTAAGACTGTATGGACATGTAAACTAAATGAATTTCTCTTCCATCTTTTGTTAAATTTATTAAGAATGCCATGTGTTCCCTGAGTAACAGAAAATCTGGAAGAAACTGGCTGTTGCCATCTGTGCCAGACAGTATTGTGGTCAAAAGTAATATCTAAACAACTTGATTTAAGATGGATTTCAATCTTTTAAGGAAGGAAATGTCAAACCTTTCCTAAGGTAGTCTATGCTGTCAGTAAATTGTTTCAGAAATTTGTTTTAATGCTGAGTTGTTAGCTGCCCTTCCAAACTACAAGATCAGAAAAAGTGGGTTGAGTAAGATTCCTAGGTTATCTTCAACTTATAGGCATCTTGGTACTACAACTTATAGCCTTGGTACTACAGTGGTTTAAAGCACCCTGTTATTAACACAGCTGCCTGCAATTTACTGCTGGTTCGAATCTCTCCAAGGCTCAAGGTTGACTCAGCCTTCCATCCTTTCTAAGGTAGGTTAAATGAGGACCCAGTTTGTGGGGGCAATAAGCTGACTTTGTATAAATATACAAAAGTATGAAGGCTATTGCTGAACGCACTGTAAGCCGCCCTGAGTCTCCGGAGAAGGGCGGCATATAAATCAAATTAAAAAAAAAAAAATCTGAGTGCAATGTTTCAGAAAGAAAATAGGTCGGCCATATTCTCCAATGGCATTCATGCGAGCTAGCGGATGTGCACGTCAAAACAGGCAAGATGGTGGTCACAGCATGCAGTCAAAACCCTGCCCTTTTTGCATATTAGAACATCTGAGATGAGCCTCAGACCTCTGTGCCATTTGTCTACACTCACTCTTTTCAGTTGCCCAGTTAGATTGCAGCATCTGGCCAAACTTGGAGATCTTTCTAATGAGATCTTGGAAAGCTAAATGGTTACTTTGAGTAAGAATCTGAGGATGGATCATCAAGAAATTTAAAGGCTATGAGACTGAGAAATGAATTTTTTAAAAAAGTGATGGCAAACCACTTCTGCATTGTTGCCCAAAAAAAAACTTCATAGATATGTCCATGTAATTTTGAGAAGTTTAACTTTAATTTAGGGAGTATTGACTTTACTGTCACTTCCAGGTTAAAGGAGGATATACCAAATGTGGTACTGAAGAGCCCATTGAGGTAAGGATGCCACTTGCCAGATATACAGCTGTATTAGATATCATTCTTTCAAATAATTGTGGGCCAATCTACACAAGTTGTCTTCACTCAGCGACCACAATTAGGGCCAGGAACTCGGTTGTTAAGTCAAGAAGTATCTAATGGAAACTGTGACCATGCTTGTGATCTTATTTCAGCTTTCCTTTGCTTTACAGTACTACGAACATCATAGATGTGAAGATTGTTTGCAAAGTTACTTTTTTTATCACCATCGTAACTGTGAATGGTCACTGTACAGGGTGTACCTGCATAACTCATTGTAATAATAGTTTTAGCATCTGGTTTTCTCAATTGTTTTGATGAGTATGGAACACTTTTTGACATTCTTTCTTTGTATTTTTTTCCTCCTTATTTTGGTATGATTTCAGGATTTCATGATTCAAGCATCCCTATTTGAATTGGAATAGAATGACTGATTCTCTGCTTTAAAATCCTATGTTGTTTCCACCCACATGTTTCAAGTCTTTGCTGATGAAAGAATGCAATATTGAATTTCAGAAGTGAGGGTGTTCTGAAAATTATTAAATTAAGAGGAAGAAAAGACCTAAATTCAATGCTTTATTACACAAAATAATAATAATAAAGGCTTTGAGATACATGGCTGTTCCTAATTAAACAGCTAGAGAAAGTGTGAAAGCAAATATTCATACCGACTGACCTACTACTAGAAGTTGTTGCCTATGGCAGAGATAGGCTATTATTGCACATATTTGAGGCTCAGTAAAATAACACACAGGGACACTTATTCACCCAGTTTGAAAGAATAGATAGAACTAGAGGTCTATTAAGAGAAAAAAATCCTAAAATATAAAACAGATGTACAGTTTGGGGAATAAAAAGAAAAGTTTCTTGAAATCTAATTCTTCAGCGTATATCCTATGGTGTTCCATTTTCTTCCCTTTGTTCAAGCAGAAAGAGAGATGACATCAAACTTCTTCCAGAAATGTTGTTCCTTCAGTCTTCAGCCAGGAAGGGACAGAGAAACCAATAGGATACTTTGGATTCCATCAAGGTGAGGAAAAGCACATTCATACCTTGATTATTTTATCTCAAACATTCCTCCAGCAAGGATAGGAAACTATGCCTACTGATGCATAGTAATGCAGTGAGTGTAATGTGACATGTCTTATGCCACCGATTTATAACAAAAGTCAACTTTATTTTACCACCTTTCTGGAAGAGTATTGAGATGTAAACCAACCTGTCTTTAGTCCCATAAAAGGATTATTGGTAAAGTAGCCACACTGATGGACAGAATTGCAGCCATCTCAATAAACATATAGAAAGCTTCTTTGTGGTAGCATCCAGTGATCCGTAGGTCACTCTCCCTGTGACCAGACAATTGCAGTCGTATAATGAAATTGTAACACAATGTTGTGTTACAATCTGTAATGTAACAACACAAAGCTGTTATAAACTATTTTGAATCAAGGTTCTCCATTAAGTAATAAAGCAAATTCCTATTGAAAATCTTCTAAACATGCCTAGAATTGCAGTGACTTAGGAAATAGAACGGAAAGGGGGAAATGTTTCTGAATGTAGGAAAGATTATTTTAGATGCCAGGTGACATAGAAACAAACTTAGTTACACAGATCAAAAATAAAACAATTGTGTGTCCTTGTCAGTTCCATGCAGCAAAATCCAGAAAGAATGTTGTGGTTCACCAATTATCAGCAACTATCTTATCTCATGAAATTTATAGTCTTGGGAAGACTGATATTTATGTTTACAATTACTGCTTGAAAGGAAATAAAATGGGATGGGGAGTGGTTGAAAAATATACTTGCTTTGGAAAAGACCAGGCATGAAACATTCAAAATATTTGACATGGAATTTTTAGATAATGTAATATAATGACAACCTCAAACAGTGTTGAGGCCATGAAATTAACACATGAATTTCCTTCTGTTCTGCCATTTTTTCCTCTCCATTCAGTCTGTTCAGATACTTCTTTCATATAGTGCCATCTTGAGGTCCATCATAGAACATCATGGGGAATTGAAATCTTCACCATCTGGTTTCAGAATATCATCAAATTTTGATGGTATATTTCTCTGTCTATCTATACAGATACAGGAATGTATCTAAGTACTCACCAGGAGTCAAACTCTCCTTTTGTGCAGGGAATGTTCAGGTTATCCAATATAAAATTGACATATGATGGATTATATGACATAGAAGAATGAGCTAGTGGAGTATTGAATCTTTTAATGGTGTTGTCAGGGTGAAAATAAGGGCAAAGTTAATACCTAATTTTTTTTATAAAGAATTTAATCCTGAATCCAGATCATTTCTGTTACTGCTAGCTAATTATTCTTTAAATCAAATCAATTTTTATAATGTTCATAAACCAACACATAATAGTTGGCCTTTAAAATTAAAAGAATTGCAGATCAGTAATTCTCCACAATCAATGCAGAGATAGATGATTATGTGAGAGTTGTGGGAGATAAGTGGGGTTTTCTAGGTTGCTTTTCTGAATTCACCTTATGCCTGAGGATCTCTATGATTCTACTTTTGATTTTCTTTCTTGGATATTCCTGATTAAAATCTTTCATTTTATGAGTTATCTGCTGATAGAAGATGCAAGCATATAATTATGTATAATGGACATAATTGATGTCTTACATGAAGTAGGAGTTATATGCAGAGGTGGGATTCAAATAATTTAACAACCAGTTCGCTGCCCTAATGATTTCTTCCAACAACAGGTCCACCAAACTGCTTAGAAAGTTAACAACTGGTTCTCCTGAAGTGGTGAGAACTGGCTGAATCCCACCACTGGTTATATGTCCATTGCCCTATTTCAGAATAGTGTCCAGAGACTTAACATGTTTCCTGAATTGGCCTAGACCTTCTTTGAATATTCGAATATAACAAATTCAATATTTGTTCCCAGCTAAGTATATACATATGTGCAGCCACAAAAGCACATTAAGCCTATATTTAATACTAACAGAAATTCATGCTGATATGTAGCCAACATGATAATTGTCTTAGTCTTTAGGCAGGTTGGTTTTGTCGCACCTTGAAATTAAGAAATTTATTAGCATATAAGCTCTTGTGGTTCACAGTTATACAATGTGTCTGTGATCAGTGGAGGCTTACAAGGTGCCACAGAACTTTAATCGTTGTCAAATTACTTTATTTTGCTTAGAAAAATCCATGCAAAAGCATGGGAGATAGCAATTACTTTTTTTAAAATTTATTAAAGAAACGTTGTTGAAAATCAGGCGTTGATTTTTCTGCTTGCTTGCTTTACTAACACTGCTGGAACTCTGAGTCTGCAAGAATTACAATATATACACACAGTTCAAAGAACCAAGTGACAGTACAAGATCACAGGCATAATTAATCAACCAATAACAATAATAGCCAGTACTCTATACTGCTCCCTACTGAGATACAAACCATATTATATTTGCAGGCATGATGATGGTTTTCTCATGTGAATAAAAGGCCAACATAAACAAAACTCATTTTTGTGTCCTCTGGTACCAGTAACTATAGAATAACCACCAGCTATGTGTCTCCTTCAATCCTAGATACTACTTGTGGTAATTTAGAAACGACACTTGAGTCCCCAAACAAATAAAAATGCAATGTCTCTTCAGCTGCTGTCCTAATTCAGTATGAAAAGATTGCTCAGCATTTTTCATGTTTCTCAAACACTTCTTAAATTAAGTTTAAGTAGATCCAGTTGGGAATGAAAAATACCAAAGTACAATATTGTTGATATCTGATTTATTGAGAAAGGTATTTAATTTGTGCATTTAATATATGCACATTATAAAAAATTAAGCTTTTGATTCAAGACCTTAAATATGGACAAACTTTCTGTCAACTTTTTTGTAGCTGTGTGATACAGTATTGATGTTATAGCTTTGATTCCACTGTGATCAGGAATGTCCAAAGGTTTTCAGTTACAAATTGTACTCCATTGTCATTCACTTGTTGTTCTGGAACATATCTTCTCACAAAGAGGAGTTGTTTCACCAATGAGCAAGGATGTTATTGAAAGTAATGGAAACACCTCTGGCCACTTTGAACATGTATCTATCATAACAAAAAAGATTGTGTCAATAAATGTCCCAACAAAGTCTATAAAAAATATTTGCCATGGAAAAGTAAGCAATTCCCCTAGGTGGAGATACACTTTTTTTGGTCTTCTGAACATGTGGGCAACATGAGCCTTATTGCATGGTGTCTGATTTGTGGATCTATGCCAAGAAACAAAGCAATATAGAAAGCTGGTACCTTCCTCTTTACTACTTCAAGATGTTCAATGTGTAGTTCTTTCATTCACAATTGGATATCATGGTGACTCTCAGTTCCCACATAATATAACCATTGGCCAAAGTTTGTTCATTATAGCACTGAAAAAGCTCCATGGTTGTTATTGTATATTTCAGTCATTCTGGGTTGTTCTATAATGGGTTGTTCTATAATGTTCTATAGACTTGAGACAATGATGGGTCTCTTTGAATCTCTGCAGCTGTGGTGCAAAGATTCTTGACCTCTGAGAGAGAAATCATGTATCTATGCTGTTCAAGGAACAAAATCTGATGCTGCATTTGAGCAGCTGCTATAAGCAGAACCCTTTTTTGAGGACTGAAGATTGACAGTGATGGCTGATGATCCATGATGAGGATAAATCTCTTCTGTTGCAAGTATTTGTTGAAATGTTTAACTTTCCAAACCAAACTCAGCATTTTCCTGTCTATTTGTGCATATTTTTCTCTGCAGCTGTGAGTGAGCATGATGGAAAAATTTATTGGGCATTCATTGCTGACTGACTGGACATGTGAAATAAACGCACTGATGCTAATTGTGAGCCATCACAAACTATTTTCCCTGGGAAGTGTAGGTTCTAATGTGTGAGTGGCATAACTGATGCCATCCTTTTATTTTCTTTGCTTCTGAAAAAGCATGCTGGCATGGTTTTTCCCGCTGCCATGTCATCCCCAACTTGTAGTAAGATTTCGGTTAAATTTAACTAATTTTGGTAAGAATCAGTTACACCGATTAGCAAAATCTAAACAGGATTGTGGCTGTAACATATTTTGTGGACTTAGGGCATTTATGGCTGCTGGAATTTTCTCGGCCATTTGTAAAGCCTTGTGGATTAAGGAGGGGGACTGTGTTTTGTCTAGGCTTAAAGAATTCACATTTGTTATAGTATGTGCTTGTGAGCCTTGCAAGGCAGTCCAGAAATGAAGCACATCCAAGAGTACTAATTCTTTCCTTATTCTCAAACTATTTTGCAGGTCTGAAAGTACATCTCCTACCATCCTCATCTTTACAATCCAAGGAACTAAGAATGGTCCATTCTAAAATATTTGGCATGTTCCATTCCTTCTTAACCTCATCTGACTCTTACCTGACCATTGCCTCATCTGCCTTCTGTCTACCAAAGTCATTCCCATGCACCACTATAGTTCTGGGGCTATATCCCTCTATTCCCTGTTTTTGCAAATATATCTCTTCATATATCTATATCTATATCTATATCTATATCTATATCTATATCTATATCTATCTATATATATATATATATATATATATATATATATATATATCTATCTATCTAGATATCTATATCTAAGTAGCAATGGGTACTCTAGATAATCTCGTTCCGCTTGTTCCCTGATTATTTACTAAAGCTTGCTATAGATGCTACTAAAAGAGTTTCTTATACCAGTATAACCTTTGTGTGTATTAATGGTGAGAAACAGAATTTCCCACTTATTTCTGACTATAAATAAGTCTCTCCTAAGTCTATTTTTCTGAAATGATGTCACTCTGCATAAATGTCCTCGATTCTAGGCAATCTCATTCTATAATACCAGAATAATCATAACTCTAATATCATCACAGGATCTGTCAGTTTCTTTCTTTATAGCTTCTGGAACCACAGATGTGGCTTTTAACTCTTGAAAGAATTATCTTCAGTTTCTATATTTTTGCATATGGAACTACACATGCTTGATGAAACTTGGATGTGTCACTTTCCTGTAATGTTACTTGGCCTTTAATTTGCTCAAATCTACTAATGTCATCTTTGAACACAACTGCATCATTGTTCCATATTCTTCAGCTTCTGCTGGGTGGACTTCAAGATAGGAAGTATAGTGTGCAAACTGTTGATGGAACTCCAGGCAAGTGGAACTCAGAGCTTTGTGAATCTGTTTATACATTTCAATCCAACACATCTTGCTGGACTTTTTTTTTTTTTTTTTACAGTTACAGTTATCAACCTAATAGGAATCTAATAGGAATCATTTTTTTCTTCAATATAATTTTTAAATTGTATCTCTGATTTAGCATCTCTGAAAATGCTACTCAACATCACAGTGATATAATTGATAAATCTAAACACTGTCCAGTTGCACTGAAATAGTTTTGCTATTACCTTCTGGTATAAGTCACATTGAATCAGTGGAACGACTTGCCTCCAGGAATTGTGGGTGCTCCAACATTGGAGGCTTTTAAGAAGAGATTGGACAATCATTTATCTGAAATGATACAGGGCTTCCTGTTTGAGCAGTGGGTTGGAATAGAAGACCTCCAAGGACACTTCCAACTCTGTTGTTCTGCTATTTTGTTAAGCTGAAGAAGAAGAGGAAAGACGATTAATATGAACATACACACAATTTTAAGGAGAAAGTTACAAATCCTTGAAGTCCTGAGCCTCACTTCAAAGTAGAAGAATTATAGAAATAAGTTACAGTTGCTAAGAATGAATATGAAAAGAGTGTCAAAAATGAATTATAGAATAACAAAACAAAATAACAGAGTTGGAAGGAACCATGAAGGTCTTCTAGTCCAATCTCCTGCTCAGGTAGGAAACTCCGTACTATTTGTGCAGTCTCTTTTTAAGAAAGAGATGAAGAAACAGAAGAAAGCAAAATGAATGTTTCTACTATTTGTTTCCATTATAACTTCAGTTATATACCCGGAATTCGTTATTAACACAATTCCTTACCTGATTGTATATGTACAATTTACAGAAATATGGAACATCATTGAAACATAGTATTAGTAGCTTCTTAATATAGCAAGTAGGCTGAACAGTTATTATTGCTTTAGATTCCTATGTTTCTAAATGGATGTTAGACATAGCTGTTAGTTCAATGCTGAAAATCATATCAATATTTTTAAAGCCCTTTAAAACCCTTCATGGTGTTCTGACCTAGGTTTCCCAAGAGTATGAAGCAGACTCCTTGTCTTCACATCCAGCAAAGTCTTTCAAGGGAGAATTTACAGTCACAGACCTTATCTGGCTTGGAGAGTGGCCAGGCCAATATCTTCAAAACTTGGCAAGGAGTCAAGAACCAATTAAGTGAACTAATTGTCTGCTGCAAACTCCACTCCCCTTTTGCTCCTCTTTTATTCTCTCTGGGAGGGGTCATTCATTGTCCACCTGTGGCCTTACTCCTAAGTCGACCCTTTTTCTTTAGCTGTTCCCTTCATCTGGCAACTCTGTGCATGTGCACATTGGGAACAGGCTCCAGTTGTTCATCTGCCTCACTGATGTCTGACTCCAAAGGCAGCTGATAACTGGCATATGCCCTTTGCCCACTCTCTGCCTCTGATGCAGAGCCCTCATCAGAGACTTCCTCAGATTCCAGAACTGATCCATGTTCCTCCCCAACCTCCTCACTGTCCAAATCTGCTGCCAGCTCTGCTGGCCACTGGTGGGTCACAACACATGACTTGGGACCAGGTTATCTGAGGGACCGTCATTTGCTGGTCACATCTACCTGACCCATTAGAGTGGGGAGGCAGGGAATGTTGTGGGTCCCATACCTGAGGGAGATACATCTGGTGGGATCCAGAAGAAAGGCTTTCTCCATGGCGGCTCCCTCTCTCTGGAACATCATTCCGCCAGAGATTAGAATGGCCCCCACTCTAATACTCTTCCAGAAGGTGCTGAAGACCTGGTTCTGCCAGTGGACCTGGGGAACCCAAAGCAGGATGGAGCCCATTAAATGGCTCGTGTGATCTGCTGTCGCCAGGGCAGGGGGTGGGAGGTAGGGGATGATTTTGTTATATTGTACTATATTAATTTATTTGATTCTTTTTGTTAGTTTTTATTGTTTTAAATGTGGTTTTATATTCTGTAAGCCACCTTGAGTCGCCATGGGCAAATAGACGGCAATATAAATTCAATAAATAAATAAATAAATCTTTCTAAAATCCAAAATTTACATGAGAATTTTTAATCTGCTTTAAAATTTCTTTATCCCTGTGTTTTTCTTCAAAACACACATACGTACCATCTATCTACTGTAAAAATAGTAGGTCAAATCAGTTGATTGCTAATAGATTTCTATACTTGCAATATTTCTTTAATGTTATATAGTAATTTTGCAACTATAGAGTTAGAAGGTTATAAATTGTGGACCTGCTTTGCAAGGAGAGGAATAATTATTATTGCTGAATAATTATCAATATTCAGCTGGGGGAGGAGTATTTTATGTATATGTTTAACATTCTGTTTTATACATTTCTTTTTTATCTTTGTTGTTGTTATGTACTCTTTTTTTTCCTTTTGTATTTTAAGATTGTAAATAAATAAAAAAAATATTAGAGAAAAAACAGATATACATGGCCTAATTCATTCTGTAGAAAAGGTCAAAAGTTTCTCTTCCAAACAGTGGAGAAAATACAATATCTCAATATCTTAGCACTGTAAAATAAATCTATTGCATCTCTTTAAAAAAAATCTTGAAATACCATGATTTGCCAAAGTACCCTATATCAGTGGCTTTCCAAAGTTTGGCTAAAAGTAATTGACAAAACCAGCTTATAATAGCAAACTTTTGTAATAATAATAATTATAAGCAAAGCTAGTACCAATAGTAATAAGGCGCCTTGGATGCAATCCCAAAACAATTAGAGCATCACTTGAACAGCATTGGCATTGACAAATTCACCATCAGTCAATTGCAAAAGGAAACTTTACTTGGAACAGCTTTATATCTTGCAACAATGTTTGTAACACCATCAAGCATCCACCTCTGTCTATCCCAGGCCCATAGGAAAAACTCAATAGGCAGACAAAAATGACAAATCCAGTCTGAACATCTAGCTAACTGTGCGATGAGCCATAATGTATCTTTAGGATAGTTGTATAAAAATAGATTTTAGGGCAATATTACTCATAGATAAAACTTATACATACTATAGAAGTAGAAGGAAGGAAGGAAGGAAGGAAGGAAGGAAGGAAGGAAGGAAGGAAGGAAGGAAGGAAGGAAGGAAGGAAACGAAAAAAGAAGGGTAGTTTAGAAGGAATTATCCAGTAAAAACATATCTTTTGGCAGCCATGAAAACTGCACAGAAAAATATTCTAGTAAAGGTTATAGTCAAAATCTTAACAACCATCTTCTGAAAACTTTTTAAACAATTTCATAAAGAATGGAATAGAACAAAATATGCCAATGTGGCCTTTTAAAGCCCACTGTGACTATTTTGTAAGATGCTCCTGGCCGTCTCCACACAAACGTGCAGGCACCATCCTTTGCTACATTCCCAGTAAAGTGAAGTGACTGAGCATGCACCCACACGTGGGGTTAGTTAAGAACAACTAAGAAGACATGGACATGGTAGGGCTGGTTTAATGATTCAGAGAAAAGTGCTTCCTATGTATTCCCTCATGTTGCACAGCATTTCCTCCAAAGCATTTCCAGAGATCTAATGACTACCCTTGATAATGTAACCAATAGAAAACCACCGATGCAATAAGATAATGTAATCATAGCACTCATAGAAGTAAACATAACCCTAAGAATCTGCAGCTGTGAACAAGGTAGCAATAGAATGCTTGGACAGTTTCCTCTTTAAACCTACCACTTAGGGCATTTAATAAAGCTTTAAGTGAGTGAATTGTGACTGTTGCTATGGTAGTTAGAAAATAAGGAGGGCTTTCAAGACAAGCTATATACAAGTTTCTCCACTGAAGAAGCATTTGTTATGGTCAACAGTCTCTCCACTGATACTAGAAATTGTTCTGTGTAGTTCCATAACTTCTAATGAAGGATGAAATATCTTCTCTGAAAATGAAACAATGGTTCTGCAGCTTTCCATACATTACTATACAATAATTCACACAGCCCTTGCCACCAGAGTCAGTAAGAAGAGATACCGATCTGGAAGGTTTACATTTTCTCATCCATTTGCATACATTATTATTAATAAAATGCACGTTTGAATTTTCCAGATGTTAAACTATATTTTTTTGCATTTTCCAACTCATTTGTGTGCAACAGAATTCAAAATATGTACTTTTTCAAATGTGGCACAGTCCCTCAGCTTAACAAATTATATGCAATGGTTATATTTATTAGGAAGCTCACACGAAAATGTATATGGTATGTACTTGTGGAAAGAAAAGTAAACAACATATTGAAATGAATCTCAGGCTGGAGAGGAAAGAAAAGAGACAATAAAGGAAGAA